GGGGGCAGGAGCGCGAGGATCGCGCGGCCGAGCGGGCGGGCGCGGGAGCCGTAGGCCAGGCGGAGCTCTGGGCGGCCGCCGAATGCGCGACGGCGGCGCCGCCGCGCCATTGAGCGAGCGCGTCGCTCGCGGGGCGAGCGAGGGAGGAGGCGCCTGCGGCGGGCGGTGGACGGGGCAGGGGCGTTTGAGGCGGGATTTTGAAGCGGCGGGGCGGGTCAAAAAGTTTCCGCCAATTATTCTCCGGTGCTCTCTTCTCGTGTTGGTTAGTTCGGCGGCGGTTCGTGCGCTTGCGTCGGGATTCGGGGAGAGGTGGGGCTACTATGGCGTTATGTGTCAAGCGGATGTGGTGTGAGCCGGTCATGTCAAAGTTTTACCGTGCTTTTTACGGACCAATCCACGCCAATAAAATTTAAAATAAGAGCAGAAAGTTATTCTCAGAGATGATCGTAGAGATATGATGTGTGTAGAACTGGGTAATAGCATCGGTTTGTAAGGCCCTTTAGTGCCGGTTCGGTAACCGGCACTAAAGTGTGGCCATTAAAGACCCCGTCCCTTTAGTACCGGTTCAGCACGAACCGGTGCTAAAAGGCAACCACGTGGCACGAGTCAGCTCCGGGGGCAGGGAGCCCTTTAGTACCGGTTGGTGACACCAACCGGTATTAAAAGGTTAGGGTTTTGGGGTTTATGATTTCTTTTTTACTTAATTTTGTGTTTTCTATTTAAAATCTTTTTCGTTTGCTGGTATTTTACGATACTACATATTGTACACGTTATGCATAAATAGAATTTCTAGTAGAATCGATCATATATATATACACACACACACACATGTACATGTGTGTATACATGTGTGTATATATATACAATTAGCTAGCTATATACAATTTTTTCTAATTGGTGCCTTCGGAGCACGATGACAATTGGAAGTGGTTCATGAGGGCGGTAGCGAGTAATAGTATTCTCCTTTGGGATCTATGACCTGGTCAAGCAAAAATCCCGCTATTTTCTCTTGAATTGCTTTTATGCGGTCCTCTGCTAGGAGCTGCTCCCGCACCTCTTTGAACTGTTAAGAAGGAGATCAATATGCATGTGTATTAGTTGTGTGACTAGATATCGATAATGATGTAAAAATTGTGAATAGTGTTCTGACAAACGTAGCCACTCCTCTTTGAGATCTGCTCCTTTTGGACGCCATCATGTGAATGTTCTCGCAAACGTAGTATGCACACAGATTATTTCCCGACGCCTGCTTCAGGGCCTTTACGAGAATGGAATTTGATCAGATAATAATTAATCAAATATGATAATTAAAGAGATGGCAGCTAGCTAGACAGTACTACTTAATTACTTACCTTGGGTCGATATCATTTCAGCTTTTTTTCCATTGGCCTGGAGTGACGCTGATGAACTTTGCCCAAGCCCTGCCCGCCGACAAAGAAAATAAATAAAGGGGTTATTAAATAGTTCATATCAAAAAATGACGAACTAAATAGGCCGAGATATAATTAATAATGATTGAAATTACCTGTTGACTATCCCAAACAAGATGGTGTAGTCACTTGCTTTTTTAAGTAGTGAGTCCAGTATTTCAACTGTTCCTTCATCAACTTTAATGATTAATAAGATCCAGTGAAATCTGCATGCACACATGTTTGCATGTCTTAATTAAGCGGGTATATGTAAGCAAAAACATGTAGCTAGCTAGTAGGCAAAAAACAGAATTTGTAGTACGAGACAGTGTGACTCACTCGAAGTTGTAAGGAAGTAATATATCTTCATTGGTATTGAGGCGCTTGAAGAACTCTAGCATGCTTTCCTCTACACTTTTTTCATAATATGGATCTAATTTCCATGTGTATTCATTAATGGTATTTGGGTCAATGAACCCAATGCCATAGCGTCCACCTTTTTTATTTCATAAATCTTCATCCCGCATAATACCACAGAAAAGAATATAGTGAAGATAATTACAGATAATGATTGATCAAAATGATCACTACAGCTAGCTTGAGACTTAAATTACAGAAAGAAATCACTTACAGACAATAGTAACTGACGATAGATTTGTCGAGTGCGTCTTGATTGTATAACTGAAATAGTTCTGAATACTCAACAGACACAGCTTTCTCATGATAGTAATGATCCTTCTTGACATTCACCATGAGGGACTCTCGATTGGAAATCTTGGTAATTTCATGTACCATTGATGCAATTCATACATTCTCGTTGGGAGCTTCTTGACCTCGTCTGGCTCGACCAAAGGTTAGCTCCGGACATATTTCCGTTTTATTTCCTCCTCTCTAATCAGAGACATGGGCTCGATATCGAGGAGTTGTCCAACAGTGATCATGAGGCTTTTAGCCTGCTCAATATACTCCTCGGTTATTACCACATCGCCCAGCCCGGAAACGTTAACGGTTTGCCCACAATAATATTGGGTGCGCGTACTCTCATGTGCTATTGGCACAACAAGCGGGGGGATTGATTGCGCCGCCTGTTCTCCCAGCTGGGGAACGGTTTTACTGCTCCTTTTGCCAGCTGATTTGCTCGAGCTCGAGCTCGCCTCTTTTTGTAGACGTGCTCGATTTAACTTCCTGAGGTGGCGCTCATAGTCTGTGTCAACAGGCTTGGGAGCTGGTGCTCTAGCCATACGAATGAAGTGGTCAATCTTTTCCTCAGTCACTTTCTCCCTTGGCGGCGGTGGCACTTTTGGTGCAAAATGGGCTTCCACCTCGGCCTTCGATATGGCTGCATTTTCCTCCTCGGACTTGTCGTAAGGCCTCTGCGAAAGAGGTGCGAGGTTGCTTGGACCATATTGAGATCGCTTGCCTCCGCCTGTACCTCCAGTACTACCTCGATTTGTACCGCTACGCACCATAGCTGAGGCGGCTCTCTTCCGTGATTGC